TGCTTCAAATGTGAGGGAATAAAATACCTAGGAATCCAACTTACAAGGGATGTAAAGGACCCTCTCTCAAGGAGAACTACAAACCCACTGCTCATGAAATAAAGAAGAGGAGACGAAAACAAATGGAAGAAGCATTCACCATGCTCCATGGGATAGGAGAAATCCAATATTGTGAGAAAATGGCCATATGGCCCAAGGTTATTTTAGGTAGAGTCAATGCCCATCCCCATCAAGCGGACCAATGACTTTCCTCACGAATTGGAGAAAAAACTGCTTTGATATAGTTCAGTATGGAAAACCAAAAAAGAGCCCGCAATCGCCAAGACAATCCTAAAATCAAAAGAAGCAAAGCTGGAGCATCACGCTACCGTGACGTTCAAAACTATACGTACAAGGTGTACAGGTAACCAAATCACCAGCATGTACTCGTACCAAAACAGGACGATAGTAGACCAATGTGGGAACAGAACAGGATCTCAGAAATAATACCACACATCTACACCACCTGGATCTTGACAAAACCTGAGAGAAACAAGGAATATGGGAATAGGATCCCTATTTGTAATAAATGGTGGCTGTGGAAAATTGGCTTAGCCATAAGTAGAAAGCTGAACAATCTGGATCCGTTCCTTGACTCCTTATACGAAAAGTTAATCAAGATGGGATTAGGAGGACTTAAATGTTAGGACCTGAATACATAAACCCCTATTGAAGAATAACCTAGGTAAGGTTTTTCGCGACCGTGGTATAGTACTACCTATGGGACTAGGTAGTACCATTCAGGACAATGGGCAAAGACTAGTCTAAAACAGCCAAAAGAAAAAAAAAGTGTCATTCAAAATGGTTACATTACATCACGTAAGTGGATCTACCTTCATTTATTTAACGTCATCGGATACTAGGTAGTTTATAGTTTTATTTGTTTATCTTATTGTTGCTTTTCCAACTAATGCTGTGATGAATGTCCTTATCATTGTAGTTCAGTACTCTGTGAGGTTATTAGGTTGAGATCTCTGTCTCTTTCTCCCTGTCTGTGTGTGTGTGTGCACGCACGCAAGACTTTTGATACGTAATGCCAAATTGCTTTCCAGAAAGATTTCTCTTGTTGATACCCCTCAGCAAGTTTAAATTGTGCTAATCTCAGTATACCTTCACCTGTAGTAAGTCTTATAAAAAAATCATAGCAATTTGCCAACATAATAGTTATTGCTTTTCTTTGCATTAGATCTCTTTACAGTTCATTTTTCCTTCTGCTTATTGACTCTTACTTTTTTGTGAATTGAATCATATTCTTTGCCTATTTTATTGAGCTATCTAGTAATCTCCTTTAATTTGCAAGTACTTTAAAAATTGGAATTAATATTTTGCCTGGCGTGTCATGAATGTGCCCACTTTTCTCCATTTCCATGGCTGTCATCCCAGTAGAAGCCACCATTATTTCCATTCCATCTGAATTTCTTCAGTAGCCTAATTCCTAACAGAATTGCAAGGATCTGCTTGATGTGGCCCCTCTCTACTTTTCTAGCTTTGTCTCAGGATCATATTCCTCAATTTCTGCACTGACTTTCTTTTACTTTTATCACTGCTAATTGCCTGCACTTCCACCTCACCTTCACACATGTTCCTGTTCCTGGCAAACTTCATCTTCTCCATGGCCATTCTTACACACCTTTGCCTGTCTAAGTCTTCCATCTGGATTAGGGTTCCTTAAACATTTTCATAGCATCCCATTCTCTTTCTTCCTTATATTGAAAACAACTGTAATTAATCTATTCACTTTTACAAACTATTTTTTGAACAATTACCTGCATAACTTAGATGGGGTTAAGTGATTGACATACACAATTTCCATAGTTTTGCGAAAAAATGTACATATACACATCTATTTTCTATGGGGAGAATTTAAAAAGTTAAAGGAGTCTCTCTGTGCTTCATGGGATGAATCATCCTTGAAGAGTAATGGACAAGACCATGGGCTCTGGAGTCCTAGGACTTAGGTTGGAATCCTGAATCCACCATTTTTGAGCTGTTTAGTCATGGGCATGAGTTACTTAATCTCTCTGCTTCACTTTTCTCCTCTATTAAATGGGATTGGCTGGGCATGGTGGTTCACGCCTATAATCCCAGCACTTTAGGAGGCCAAGGCAGGTGGATCACCTGAGGTCAGAAGTTAGAGACCAGCCTGGCCAACATGGTGAAACCCCGTCTTTACTACAAATACAAAAATTAGCTGAGCTTGGTGGCATGTGCCTGTAATCCCAGCTACTCAGGAGGCTGAGGCAGGAGAATCGCTTGAGACAGGAGGTGGAGGTTGCAGTGAGCTGCACTCTAGCCTGGGTGACAAGAGCGAAACTCTATCTCGGAAAATAAATAAATAAATAAATAAATAAATAAATGAGGTTAATAATTATATCTGTCTTTTCTGATCGCTGTGAATATTGAAGGAGGTAATTCATGAAGTCCTTAGCGCCTGGCACATGGTAGGCACTATATAAAATGTTAGTCTTTATCCTTTTCTTTGTCCTGTTTTCTGACTTCTTCATCTTTGAATTTTATTAAGTGCCAACTCGGCAGGAGCACAGTGCTAGATGGTATCCAGGGTCCTGCTTTCTTCCTAGGGAATTGCTCCACTGGTTTTGAAGTGTTTCCTCAACATAACAAGGTTACTTCTGATGATAGTTTGTGAAGCCTCTGCCATCACCTTGACATTCTTCTTTAGAAGTTGATGATATTTCATTTTTGCTTCCAGAACGGCAATGAGTATCTTCTGTAAAATACATAATTTATCTCTGCTTCTCTTTTGGTAGTGTAACTTTTTGAGTATTAATACTCAGATCTGCTTTTCTTGACAGCTGGCAAACTTCCCCAGGCTCTGCGAGGAGACGGAAAGGATTGTTGCTAACCACATTCGTGAGCGAGAAGGGAAGACAAAGGACCAGGTAAGGAGAGGTCTTCCCTGGTGGGAAGTCGAAGGTCTGTGCGAGGTTGTCTGATAGTTCCCAACAGTCAGCCTGTCGCTTAAAGGAAAAAAAAAATAGTGGAACACAACTACATTTATTTTTACTTATTTATGAATTATACACATACTATATTCATATCTTACTTATGTTAAAAATATGAGCAAATAGAAAGACTTCATTCGGAAGAATGAGATGCAAAAGCAGTAACAGGAGTTTCGTTATTTTTTTTTCTCAACACTCCATGGATCATGCATACATCCTGCTTTGAAAACCACTAATCCAGGAACATACCACATTTTCTCTTTAAGACAGGAGTTCTTAGCTTTTAATGGGCCCACAGATGGGCTCCAGAAGATTCACAAACTCCTAAAACATTATGCAAAATGCTCAGTGTTTTTATTGTTTTCTAAGGAGACAGTGGACCTAGCTTTTCATCAGCTTATCCATATAACCTATGATTGAAAAGAAAAATTGAGAACTACTCTTTTAAACATTTCTATTTTATGAATGTTTGTGGTTTGTAAGAAGTGACCCTGAAATTGTTTTCTAATCCTAGCTCTGTGATTTGGAAAGATTTTTTTCAAGTGAGAATAATCCATTTAAAAAAGTAAAGGACTACATGGAAAGAATAAAAATCTTCTTAGGTTTAAATGGATTTTTCTTAGTTACTTATAAAACATTATAACAGGAAATACAAAGGGTTTTACATACCCTTGAATTCCATGACACAGCTGCACGTGTGATGTTGTGGAGAGAACACTGGACTTAGGCCATGTGCTCTCCACAAAATAACATCATGTTCTTGTGTAAATCACTTCTTTGGACTGTTGTTTTCTCATGTACAGCATTAATATATTGGTCTATATGCTCTCTGAAAGCCTGTGTAAGTTAGTATTACCGGATTTTGTGATTCTCAAATGAGTGGGAAGGAGGTGAGGGAGAAATAGGGAAAAGGAAGAAGACAAAATAAAAGAGAGAGGAACAAACCACAGGGAGAGACACACACAGCACATAGAGTGTGTGTCAGGAAGAGGAGCAGGTGGAGGAGAAAGGGGACAGAGGGATGGAGACCCAGCAGGTTGGGACATTCGTGAGTGATTCCAGTATCCACCTTTTCTCTGCTTGAACTGTGGATTCATTGTCACTACTTTTTATCATTGTGTTTTGAAAGTTAATCACTATTTATAGTTTTCACTTGTTTATCAACTTTCACACTCTTGAATAGCTGAAATAGCCAAAAGAGGAGAAAACAGGCTTTTTGTTTCAGTTGAGATGAACAAATCAGTATTAACTCCTGAGTCAGTGAAGTCAAGCCTAGAGCCAGATATGGAGCCCCAGGGCCAGAAGTTCTCCCTAATGTCTGGTGTCTTGGCCCCTCCTGGGCTGAGAAAACGTAAAATCTTAAGAATCAGCTGTACTCTTGACCTTAAGTAAATAAGCTAACTGTTTTAATTTAGTGTCTTTCATCTATAATATTCAAATGATAATAAATCCTACTTAACTCTTTGCGATCCTCTGTCAAAATAATATTGGAGAAAATATAGGATAATTATTTAAACCATTTTAAATATTTCTAATCATATCTATGTCAGTTGTTAGCTTCTTCATATTTCAGAGTTTTTGTTTTAGTAAAATGGCATGTTCAAGCATCACAATGTTGTTAAGATTGTGGGTTCTGGGCTCAGACTACCTGATTTTGAATTCAAGCTCTGTTGTTAACATTTTGTGTAACTTGTGACAAGTTATTTGACATCTTTACACTTCAATTTTCTCATCTTAAAGTGAGACAATAGTGGTAGTTAACTCACAGCCATTTTGTGAAGATGGAAGAAGTAATCAAAATGCAAGACCAGGCATAGTGGCTCACACCTGTAATCCCAGCACTTTGGGAGACCAAGCAGGCAGATTGCTTGAGGTCACGAGTTCGAGACCTGCCTGGGAAACATGGTGAAACCCTGTCTCTACAAAAAATTAAACAATTAGCTGGGCATGGTGGCCTGCACTACCAGTAGTCACAGCTACTCAGAGGCTGAGGTGGAAGGATCATGTGAGCCCGGGGATTTAGGCTGCAGTGAGCCATGGTTGTGCCACTGCACTCCAGCCTGGGTGACAGAGCGAGACCCTGTCTTAATATACATATGTGTACATATGTAACAAACCTGCACATTGTGCACATGTACCCTAGAACTTATAGTATAATAAAAAAATATACATATGTATCTATCTATCTTAGTTCTTAGTTCTTAATTAATTTTAGTTGTTTTTGTTTTTGTTATTGTTCCCAAAGAGCTATGGCATGTGATAGATTCGAGGAAGAATTGCCTTTTCTGATTTCAAGGGAAATTGTTTTCAATCTGCAACTCAGTTGCAGTGATTAATTTATTCCCCAAGTGGGACATAAGGGATGGGACAGGCATCTCCCTACTGAGTCACAATCTCAGATGGTCTGGTCCAACAGTTATCAAGTTCCTGTCACAGCTGGTAGTGGTCACCTCTAATATATGGACCTGTGTGGCATAGCAGAAACGTGCCTGGTTTTGGTAGTGTGGACATGTCATTCTGGATAGAACTCACATTTGAATTCCAGACTCTGCTCTGCCTGGGGCCATGTAGTACTTTTAAAGTATCCAGTTAGACAGAGTGACCCATATCCTCAGGCCTCCGTGCCTGAACAGCTCTGGGGCATTCTTGCCGTTTTCTTTCTTTCTTTAAAAAGTAGAGTTACTACCAACTTCTGCTCTGGAAGCTTTGTGGGAAAAAAATCTTCACAATTAAAAATATGGAAAGCCATAAATCTGTCTGTAGCTTTTTCTTAAACAAAGGTGTTTTGAGTGTCTGAGTGTGCCAGCCGTTAGTCTTGGTGCTTCCATACGTGTCATTGCATGTGGAAGCGGTGGACTTTCTGGGCAACTCCTGCTACCGGGGCAGCTTTACTTTGCTTCAACTAAATATTCAATAACTGTGGGTGAAAAAGGCAGTGAGAAACTCTGAGAAAGTGAAAAAGTGAGGAGAAAAAATGGACTATTTTTCTTTTTATCCCCCACATGCGACCTGGCTCTTTTCCTAGAGTGAACACAGACTCCCAGTTTCCAGGAATATAATGAGAACAGCCATAGCTTTTATTTTTTTTCCACTTTTTTTTTTCCTTGTACTATGGTCCAAGTTAATGTGTGTGAACGTCCAAAAGATATTCAGGACAACCTTTGGCGATGCTGAGGATTATGAAGATATTTTGCTCCTTACAGTGGCAACAATTTATTTGTGTTCAAATATTACAGTTTATTGGTACAAGCTTTTGGCCAAATGAATTTGGAATATACAATTTAACAGAATCTGGCTTTATTGTTGGGAGAAGAGAGGCAAAACTACAACTAATCCAATAATGATCACGCTTCCTAATGTTTCAGTTTTCTTCAAGATGTGAAACAAAACTCTATCTGACTATATGAAATTTTTTCATACAAGTATGATGTTATTGACCCAATAACCCCCATCCCTTGACTTTATTTTTGGTAGTGGGATTTGAAGTGATCTTTTAAATCTTTTTGGCAGGTCCCCTTGTGACTCTCAGCAGGATTTGGTCAGATGACTGGTTGAGATTGGCCACAAAAACAAAGCCTCCAAGCCCATAGCACTGGGTACTGAGTACAAAACAAGAACAAGTGGCCACATACTAATTATATATCTATATATGGGAATAAATCACTCCCTGGAAAGTTAACTGTTCTTGGCTGGGCATGGTGGCTCATGCCTGTAATCCCAGCACTTTAGGAGGCCTCCTCGTCTCCCCATTGAATGCTATTTTCTAGAGAGGGACCTCCCAAGTCTCTGACTTAGAGATTATAAGTATCTTATATTTAGAATATTTTCGTGTTGCCTGGGACATGTATCCAGTTTACTCCATTACAAATCTTCATTTAATTCTCACGATGTTTCAGGCACTGTTCGAGGCACTGGGGATGTAGCAGTGGATACAACGGATGAGGTCTATATAAGAAATTTGTAAAAACTTGCCACGTTAGCTAGTGTTAGTGCTGCAAAAGAAAAGAAGGCAGGGTAACACAATAGAGAGTAACCAGCATGCTAGTTTAAATAGAATGGGCAGGAAGATCCCTCTGATGAGTGACATTTTAGCAGGGATCTGACATTATTATTATTATTTAAATTTATTATACTTTAAGATCTGGGATACATGTGCAGAATGTGCAAGTTTGTTACATAGGTATACGCATGCCATGGTGGTTAGCTGCACCCATCAACCTGTCATCTACATTAGGTATTTCTCCTAATGCTCTCCCTCCCCTAGCCCCCCACCCCCCAACAGGCCCTGGTGTGTGATGCTCCCTTCCCTGTGTCCATGTGTTCTCATTGTTCAACTTGCACTTATGAGTGAGAACACGCAGTGTTTGGTTTTGTGTCCTTGTGATATTTTGCTGAGAATGATGGTTTCCAGCTTCATCCATGTTCTTGCAAACGACATGAACTCATCCTTTTTTATGGCTGCATAGTATTCCATGCTGTATATGAGCCACATTTTCTTTATCCAGTGTATCATTGATGAGCATTTGGGTTGGTTCCAAGTCTTTGCTATTGTGAACAGTGCTGCAATAAACATATGTGTGCATGTGTCTTTATAGTAGAATAATGTATAATCCTTTGGTTATGTACCCAGTGATGGTATAGATGGGTCAAATGGTATTTCTGGTTCTAAGTCATTGAGGAATTGCCACACTGTCTTCCACAATGGATGAACTAATTTACACTCCCACCAACGTGTAAAAGCATTCCTATTTCTCCACATCCTCTCCAGCATCTGTTGTTTCCTAACTTTTTAAAGATTTCTATTCTAACTGGTGTGAGATGGTATCTCATTGTGGTTTTGATTTGCATTTCTTTAAAGACCAGTGATGATGAGATTTTTTTCATATGTTTCTTGGCTGCATAAATGTCTTCTTTTGAGAAGTGTCTGTTCATATCCT